GACTCAACCTTAGTTTTCAGTCCAGGAGGGCTCTGGGGAGGCTGTTGGCTGAGTGCCAGGTGCCTTTCAACATTTCCCCAAGGGGCTCAGGTGCCTTTCCCTCCATTATGCTCGTGAGGAAACGGAAACCTGGAGAAATGAGGGAGCTTACCAGATGTCACACAGCTACTGGAAGCCAGAATTCAGACCCCATTGCTCAATATCAACAGGGGTTTTATTTGTCTGAGTTTTCAGTCTCACAAGTAATTGAATTTATACATCACATGAGGAGGGTGGACCTCTTTATAATGTTAATCTATGGACGTGGTATATTTCTCCATTTATGGAGTCTTCTTTATCTCTCAATAAAGTTTTATGATTCTCTCCATAGGAATCTTGTACTTGTTTTATTATGAGGTCTGTGATGTTATTATAAATGTTTTTTCTTATTTTCTGTTACAGCTAGAATTTCAAAACGCAGTGGGTTTGTTTTGGTTTTGAGGGGAGTTGGTGGCTGGTTGGTATAGGGATTGAACTCTGGACCTTGGTGTTGCTCTGGGGTTTTTTGCATATTGACTTTTAAATCCAGTAACCTTGCTAAATTCTCATATTCTAATAATTTACCTGTTGATTATTTGACTTTTATATCATCTCTAAATAGTGGCAGTTTGTTTCTTCCTTTCAAATCTTTATATCCTCTTTTTTTTCTTGCCTTACTGCCACGGCCAGGACCTCCAGTACAGTTTGAACCATACTGGCAGTGGTGACGGGGCATCTTTGCCGTGTTTCTGTTCTGACAGGGAAAGCTTTCAGTGTTCCACCACTATACAAAGGTATTTGAAAAGTTCGTGGAAAAAATGGAGTTAAAAGATAATACAGGGCCGGCCCGGTGGCACACTCGGTAGAGTGCGGCGCTCCCGCCGAGGGTTTGGATCCCATATAGAGACCGGTCCGCTCACTGGTTGCGCACGGTGCGGGTGCAACACCGAGGGTTGCGATCCCGTTGCCGGTTGTGGTACAGGCGCAACACTTGAGGGTTGCAATCCCATTACCGGTCACGAAAAAAGACAAAAAGGAAAAAAAAAAAGATAATACAAATCTTTCCATGAACTTTCTGAAGACTTCTCATGTATAGAATTTTGCAGCTACCCTTTGTCAGGGCAAAGAAGTCCCTTCCATTCCTAGTGTACTAAGAGTTTCTCCTCATGAATGGATCTTGAGTTTTATCTGCAGCCATAGAGAGGATGGTATGATTTATTTTTTCCCTTAAAGGGATAGATTATGCTGAGCTTTCCAATACTGAACTGATCTTGTATTCCTGGGAGAAACCCAGCTTGACTGTGTTGTATTATCTTTTTCATGTATTGCCAGTTCAGTTTATTAGTCACTTGTGTAAGACTTTTACTTATATTTTTCTTGAATAGATTGCCCTTCACTTTCTCTCTTTTTGTTTTGTTTTGTTTTTTGGCAGCTAGCCAGTATAAGGATAAAAACCCTTGACCTTGGTGTTACCAACAGCATGCTCTAACCAACTGAGCTAACCGGCCAGCCCACCCTACACTTTTTCTTTTTCACATTTTCCTCATTAGGTTTTGGTGTCAAGGTTATGATGGCCTCACGGATGAGTTGGGTACTTCCCTCTTTTTCTAAGTTCTGAGTTTGTATAAGAGTAGAGCTCTTTGCTCCATATGTGCATATTAGAATTCACAGGTGAAGCATCTGGGCATGGAGTTTGCTCTGTGTCAATTCCTGATCAACATGCTTTTTCATAAATCTCATCTCTTCCTTTTCATCCTTCCAGACAGCATCAACTCACAATTCGAAATCCTAAGGGGTCACACTGCCTCAGGCCTCCTCTCCAGCTAGTTTTTGTGAAGCTCCACCTCGATCCTAGCTCTCTCCTGCTCCAGAACGTCCACCAGTCCCCACTGCCCCCCACATAAAATCCAGCTCTACCACCAGATGCTCAGGGCCCTCAACTGTGGCCAAACAACCTGTCCAGCTTTCCCTTCTGCTGCGCCCTGCTGAACGGAACGCACACCTGAGCCTCACAGGTCAGAGCTCCCACCCATGTGGATTGCTACAAAAAACTATCCCTTCCAGACCCCTCATGCCACTAAGGCCACCTCTTCCAGGAAGCCTGCCTCTTCCCTGTAGCTGCAGGTCCCCTCCCTCCTGTAGCTGTCTTTTTTCACATATCATCAAAACTGTTTTTGGGTTGTATTAGTATGCTTCTGTTCCTTATAAAGAATACTTGAAACTGGTTAATTTATTAAAAAATGAAATTATTTCTTACAGTTTGGAGGCTGGGAAGTCCATGGTCCAGGAGGGGCATCTATAAGGGCCTTGGTGGTGGTTCTACAGCAAAAGGGGGTATCACATAGCAAGAATCAGATCCTTTGCCTGGAACTTCTGGACTCTGTGGTCATCCCACACGCCCCCAGACTCTGTATCCCTTAAGCTATGCTTACAGAGTGCTCTATGCCTTTTCAAGAGCAACAAAAAATGAATAAATCTCTAAGTATGAAGAAGCGGCATTTCATGTAATAGATGTAAAAGACATGCACACACAGACCTGTGAACTCCCAGCTTCCAGGGCTGATGACTTGAGTTAAGAAGAAATGTGCCATTACAGGAGTTGGTGTCATTTGAGGCTATGGACTTTACCTGAGAAGAGTGGCAGGACCTGGATGATGCTCAGGACTTTATACAGGGACATGATGTTGGAGACCTTTTAATAAAATATTATTTACCACTAGTCTACTACTGATTTATACCAACTTCCAATTCTATACTTATAACCAGTCTAATTCTTTGACACTCCCCCTCCTTAACAGAAGTTTTAGGGTTTGGCGATTATTACTTAGGCATGTGGAATTCTTAATAACCATTCTAGAAATCTTCCTGGCTTATGGAGAACCATGAGAAGAATAAACCAATTGGGAAAATGACCAAATGCCATTATAGCTGACTCATTGTAAGATATCCATAAAGTATTTGTTAGCCTTTCTCTTTCTTTATTCTTCCCAGGGAAATATAAATTGGGTGAGGAAAGATCATCTAATATTTAAAAAAAAAAAAAAAAGAATCACAAAAGCTTCTCACTCACTATCTTTATAAAGCCATCACAACCCATGCCCATGATAACTCATTACTCCGGAATCACAAAACCTTCTCACTCACTATCTTTATAAAGCCATCACAACCCATGCCCATGATAACTCATTACTCCGTGAATGGATTAATACATTCACGAGGACACAGTCCTCACGATCCAATGACCTCTTTGAGGCCCCACCTATGGTATTTGACCTTTCAAATACCATAACTGGATTTCCCACCCTCTTAACACTGTTATAATGAGGGTCAGGTTTCAAATGCATGAAATTTTAGCAGACACAGTTAACCCATAGCAGGGATAGAATTAGAATTACTCTCTACTCAAGTGTTCCAAGGGGACAGACACGTGTCATGATCATTCAGTCAACAAATACATCCAGTGAACCAGGTACCAGGCTCAGTGCTGGGATACATCAGTAACCAAGACAGACTGGCTCCAGGCATTTCGGAACTTTCCAGTGAGTGGGAAATAAAACAGCTTTCGCTATACAGATGAGCATAAAAAACAAATTATACATCACCCAGAATCCCTCTGTTAATGTATTGGAGCATTTCTTCCCAGCTTTGAAAATGCAGAAGCTGGCCTGTTAGCTCAGTTGGTTAGAGCATGGTGTTGATGACACAAAGGACAAGAGTTTGGTCTCCCTACTCAGCCAGCTGCCAAAAAAAAAGAAAGAAAGAAAAACCTAGATACTAACTTACCTGAATAGGTACATACCAGCCTGGCTTAAAGATAAGGAAACTGAAGGGGCCGGCCTGTGGCTCACTTGGGAGAGTGTGGTGCTGATAACACCAAGGCCACGGGTTCAGATCCCTACATAGGGGTGGCCGGTTAGCTCACTTGGGAAAGTGTGGTGCTGACAACACCAAGTCAAGGGTTAAGATCCCCCTTACCCATCACCTTAAAAAAAAAAAAGAGGAAACTGAGGCACCCAGCCCCTAAACCAATGCTTGCACAGCTAAGGAATTATGGGGACTGCGTTTTATCTAAGCGGCCTTTAATGGTTGGAGCTGTGTGTCCTGTTTGGGAGCCCAGCTTTTACCTCTTTTTTAAAATTTTTATTTATTTATTTGATTGTTTGTTTATATTTATTTATTTGTTTATTTATTATTTGGGCGCTGACGGGTAAAGCGATCTGAACCCTTGGCCTTGGTGGTGTAACGCTGCTCTACCCAACTGAGCTAACCGGCCAGCCCAATACATCTTACTTTGGGAGCATGGAATGTGTATCCAGTCCCTATCTTGTCATATCTTGCCTACTCCACCTGCTTTCTTCTCAGGCTAACTGGGGACCGAGTCTGGAGGCCTGGGTTCTGTCGGCTCTGCCACCAGCTCACTGAGTGGTCTCAGGCTAGTCACTTGGCCTCTCTGGGCCTCAGTTTCCACATGTGTAAGAAAGATCTGGGACTCTGTCCCACCGCGGCGGGTCTTGAGGACCGGTCACTGTTGAAGGGTTGGTGTCCCTCGGAACCCTGCCCCACGCTGGGCGGGGCGGTGGCGCTGCCGCCCGGGAGTTGGGCGCGGGTGCGCTGGGCGGGACCAGGGGAGGGGTCGCAGGGGTGGGACTGAAGAGGGGCGTCCGCTGTGCCGGGGACACCCGGCGGAATCACAGCCTCTGCGCCCTTGCCCCGGCCGTGCCCACCTCCCTCCGCCGCGTGGCCGAGAGCCCAGAGCCGCTCCCGCCGGGGTCCCCCAAGGTCTCCGCCCCTGCGGCCGTGGCGCGTCCCGGCGTTTGCCGAGGGTCTGCTGAACCCTGGAACGGGGCTGGGAAAGTCGCCTCCATAGAGCAGGGAAAACCTGCACCAAGCAAAGCGATGACGCGCAAAGGCGACGACCTCAAAAAGCAGCGCGTGTCCCTGGCAGCGGCGGCCGGCGCTGGGGTCGCGCTGCCCGGAGCATCTCTGCGGGATGCTGTCCTGGGGACCTCTGCCCCTCCTGTTCTGCCTCGGCCTCCTAGTCTATGTTACGGGACGTGTAACAAGGACCATGCGCTGGGAACGCCCAGGAGCTGTCATCCTCCACAATTCGGGGTTGTGCCAGATCAACCAGATTAGGGGCCCGGGAGGCGTGCCTGGCGTCCCCGCTCCCCTCGAGGGCTGGCCTTGTCTCCATCCTGCCTGAGCTCTTCCGATGGTCCTGCCGCTGCGCGTCCCCGCACTTCCCCAGGTCCCTACCCCGCAGTCGGCCCTGCCGATGGGAACGCGCGTCCCGCCCCCACCCCAGAGACTTGTCGCTGACCTCGGGCCCCTGAGGCCGGCTGGGGAAACCTACGGACTGCTTCTCAAAATAATATCTCTAAATGAATAAGATAAGACTAAAGAAGGAAACCAATTATATAGAAATACATGTCGTTAATATGTATGAAGATCTATAGTTAATAAAATTCTAGAAACACATGTGTGATGGAGTAATGTGCTTTATTTAACACATTAAATAACAACACCAAAGCTGCAAGTCTAATAGACACCATAATTTTGAAGCAGCAGCGAGCATAAATGATATTTAGAGATTTCAGCAACAGCCGAAATGTGATGTGAAAATCCCTGGGTTTCTACTAGTGACAAAGTCACAGGGACAGCTGGCACTAACTGCTGAGGTTGCCGCCACATTCCTAATTGATGGGAATGTAAATATCAGTTACAGGTGGGTGAAAATGAGAGCGTATATTTTTTCAGTCCAACTTCTGAAACCCCCTGACTTCTATCCTCTGACCTCCCCTCCCTTCCCTTCTCTCCGGGGACCCCAGGTTAAGAACCCCCACTAGAGGTGACGAGGTTGTGTAAGAGGGGCACAGAGATAAGTGGGAGGGGGTGAGGTGCAGAGAGGAAAAGCCTTTCTGTTGGTGGGTCTGTTCAAAAGGTGTGGCGGGTACTAACATTAATAGAGCAAATGTATTTCACAGGGCCTAGCCTCCAAAGCCCTGTAGTTTCAGGTATAACCTAACTTTTAAAAATTACATATAGAAATGTTAAGCTTGCAAAAGACAGGAAACTTTCCCCAGGCTAAAGTCTCTATTGTAGACAAAGAATTGTAACACCACAAAATTGCTGGCTCAAAGACAGACGTCCTTGGTGCAGGTTAACCTAAAGTTGTTTATTGTTATGTAAAAATACTGAGGAAACTGCTATAGGAAAAGACAGTATTTGCTAAGAACAAGCTTTTGTTGGTGGATCGATTTAACCTTTTGCAAATTGCATTATGGACTGTCACTTTGTTATTTCACTGATGTTACCAGCCTCTATTGTTAAACTATACTTAGCCATAACTCCACCTATGTTCCTTTTCTATAACTTTCTGGCATGGAGAATACATAGTGAGAAAGAACCCCAGTTCAGGATTATTTTTCCAAGGAGAAATGCCTCTCTCTTGAGGGTTCCTGGAAATTAACCCCTTTGGGGTTTTTCACTGCTCAGAAGCATAGTGAGAAAGAACCCCAGTTCAGGATTATTTTTCCAAGGAGGAATGCCTCTCTCTTGAGGGTTCCTGGAAATTAACCCCTTTGGGGTTTTTCACTGCTCAGAAGAAATGGGCTTTGAGTAATCCCTTGCATCTCCGTCACCCAGGGAGAGAGAGGTGAGAAAGAGAGTGCAACAAAAAGGGATCACACCTCTGGCCTTTTTGCACATGCTGTTCCCTCGGCTAGGTCTTCCATCCCCTGCCCCCTCTGCCACCCCCAACTCAGTGTCTCTCTCTTGAAAATACCCCTGCCCCACCCCACCCTACAGCACAGGGTTCCCCCTCACTCTTGCTCCCCAGTGTCTTACCAACTCTGCTTAGAACCTGTGGATTGATCTCAGGGGGCTGTGCTCAGGCCTGGCCCCCCACTGGACTGACCCAGGCTTGTCTGGGGCTGGGGTGCTCCATCTCTGGTCCCCACAATCCAGTTCAACACCAGTGATCAGTGAGTGTTCGTTAAATGGATGAATGTATGAATGACAAAGACCTACTGCTTTCTCTAACTCCTCGTAGGCAGCAGCCATCTCTGACTCATCTTTGGGCTCCACCCCCCGCAGCACCGCCACCCCATCCCATTCTGAGCCCTGGGACCCCACGAAGGAGAGGTGAGAAGGAAGGAGAGCAGCAGCTAACACTGGCTGAGCACCTCCCAGGGCTCAGGCTCCTGCTGGACCCTCTTACCCACCTACCTTCAGGCAGGTAATTCTCCCAAGAGCCCACTTCACGATGGGGAACCTGGCACGTGAAGAGGTCATGGCTCACTCCCTAGGTCACAGCTGGCAAGTGGTGCAGGAAGATTCCAAGCAGTCCACTGTGGTCATGCTGCTCTCCAGGAAGTATTTACAGGGTGCCTCGGGCGAAGGGGCCTTCACAGAGGCCATTGTGACCACAGAGCTGGTGACCACACTTGAGAAGAAGCCCATACCCTCTGAAGGGGACTCCTTTCACAGAAATACTTTTTTAGATGGCTAAGTCATCATTAAAACAAAAACACTTCTGATCTTATTCACCCTGTGAACACATGGTCCGCTTCTGCCCAGGGAGATGCTGGGGTGCAGAGGACCGAGAAGGAGCAGCTGCCTGCAGAGCTCCCCGCCTGGCGAGGGCACCAGGGGCTGGGAGTGGAGGGGTCGGAGGGGAGTGGAGGGACCACTGGGGCAGGCTGGGAGGTCTTCACAGGGGAGGC